TGAAACTCAGACAGATTTTTCAATATCTGACTTTTCTACACCAAGATCTAAAGATCAAGGTCATGACATGCTGTCAAGGTCACAGCTTATCCAGGAACAACAAAATGATCCTGAGATTTCTGTCCTTTTTCAAAAGGCTTTTAGTGAAGATGAAGCTTTACAAGTCCCTGTTTGTTATTATGAAAAGAATGGGATTTTAATGAGAAAATGGCGACCGCCCGATGTCCCTGCTGAAGAGGAGTGGACAGTTAATCACCAAATTGTGGTCCCTAAATCATATCGCCAGGAAATATTAAGCTTGGCTCATGAAACACCCATGGCAGGTCATTTAGGTGTTAATAAAACCTACCATAAAATTCTCAGTCATTTTTATTGGCCTGGCCTTAAAGCAGATGTATCTAGATACTGTAAATCTTGTCATTACTTGTCAGATGGTTGGAAAACCTAACCAGACAATACCTAAAGCTCATTTACAGCCTATTCCTGCATTTGATGAACCTTTTAGTAGAGTTATTATTGACTGTGTAGGTCCATTACCAAAACTAAATCAGGTTCTCAGTACTTATTAACTATTATGTGTGCTTCTACGCGCTTCCCTGAAGCTATTCCTTTAAGGAATATTAAAGCCAAAACTATTATTAAGTCTCTTGTGAAATTTTTCACTTTGTTGGTTTACCTAAATCAGTACAGTCTGATCAAGGGTCAAATTTTATGTCTGGTATTTTCCAGCAGGTCATGCATGAGTTAGGAATTACTCAATATAGGTCTTCAGCCTATCACCCTGAAAGTCAAGGTGCATTAGAAAGATTTCACCAGACTCTGAAAAATACGATAAGGTCATATTGTTTTGACACTGAAAAAGACTGGGATGAAGGCATCCATTTATTGTTATTTGCTGTAAGAGAATCTGTTCAGGAATCTCTTGGCTTCAGTCCTTTTGAATTAGTATTTGGTCACACTGTCCGAGGACCCTTAAAACTTCTAAAAGAGAAATTCCTGTCTGAAGATGACATATCTTTAAATTTGCTTCAGTATGTATCAGATTTTCGAAATAGGTTGACTAATGCATGTGAGTTAGCTAGACTTAATTTAAAATCAACACAAAGTAAAATGAAATCAAGGTATGATGAGAAATGCTCATGAAAGAAGTTTTAACACTGGTGATAGAGTACTTGCTCTTTTACCTATACCTGGAAAACCTTTACAGGCAAGATACTTTGGTCCGTATTACTATTGAAAAGAAAGTCAGTGACCTTAATTATATTATTAATACTCCTGGGAGGCGAAAGCAAAAACAAATGTGTCACATAAATATGTTAAAAGAATATTTTGACAGAGATAGCAAATTAGTAAACCTATATCTTTTGTAACTCTGTTCCACAAAATCAATGTTCAGTTGAATCTAATAGTTTCTGAAAATTTTTGAAAAGTCTGATCCTGGTTCAGCGAAGCTTGAAAAACTCTGAAATTCTGAAAAATCTGGATGAAAAACTTGCTCACTTAGAACCGTCGAAACGAGATGAACTGAAACAGCTTATTTATGAATATGAACACTTATTTCCTGATATTCCCACACGAACTGACAAAATACATCATGACGTCATTCTTGAAAACTCTGAACCAATAAAACAGCATCCATATAGAACAAATCCTGTAAAACAAAAGTACCTAAGACAAGAAGTTCAGTATTTATTGGATAATGACTTTATTGAACCAAGTCAAAGCAATTACAGCTCTCCATGTATTCTTGTACCGAAATCAAATGGAACATATAGAATGTGTACAGATTATCGTAAAGTGAACTCTGTAACAAAAACTGATTCATTTCCTATACCAAGAATTGATGACTGCATTGACAAAATTGGAAAAGCAAAGTATGTAACAAAGTTTGATCTTCTAAAAGGATTCTGGCAAGTTCCACTTACTGATAGAGCTAAAGAAATATCAGCCTTTGTAACACCAGATGGCTTATATCAATATAAAGTCATGCTATTTGGTATGAAAAACTCACCAGCAACTTTTCAGAGACTTATAAACATGGTAATATCTGATCTACACGGATGTGACGCATACATTGATGACGCAATCATCTACTCTGATGAATGGGAGGAACATCTCAAAACTATAAGAGCATTCTTCGACCGACTTAGTGATGCTAAATTGACAGTTAATCTTGCAAAAAGTGAATTTTGTCATGCAATTTTAACATTTTTTAGGACATGTAGTGGACAGGGTAAAGTAAAACCAATAGAAGCTAAGGTCAAAGCTATCTCTGAATTTCCTGTGCCAACTTGTAAAAAGAAACTGATGCGATTTCTTGGTATGGCAGGGTATTATTGTAAATTTTGCAATAATTTTTCGGTTATTGCAGAACCATTGACAAATTTGTTAAAGAAAAGAAACAAATTCATTTGGAATGACAAGTGTCAAATGGCATTTGACAGCCTTAAAGCCATACTTAAGAGTGCACCAGTTCTCTTGGCACCAGATTTTTAATAAAAACTTTAAGTTAGCTGTAGATGCTAGTGACATAGGTGCTGGAAGTGTATTGATCCAAGAAGACAACAATGGTGTTGACCATCCTGTTTGTTACTTTTCTAAAAAGTTTAATGAACATCAGAGAAAATTACTCTACTATAGATAAAGAGTGCCTTGCTCTTATTCTTGCTATTCAGCATTTTGAAGTTTATCTAACTTCTTCAAAGTTGCCTGTTGTTGTCTTTAGTGATCACAATCCCCTCACTTTCTTGCATAAACTTAAAAACAAAAATCAAAGGTTGTTGAGGTGGAGTTTATTTTTGCAAGAATATAGTCTTGACATTAGACACATTAAAGGGAAAGATAATTTGATCCCTGATGCACTTTCACGTGTCTAAAACTGTTATTTGCAGTATTTTAAATTTAACATTTATATGATATGATTGATTATTTTTTTTGTTGTTGTTTGCTATTGTTTGTAATAGCATTTATATGATATGATTGGTTATTTTTTTTGTTGTTGTTTGCTATTGTTTGTAATACACATATATATGAATGTATAAAATTGTTTAACATTTCTCCTATGTTATTTGTTAGTTACATTGTTTGAATTTATGTAAAAGAAATATTCATTTCATTCATATTTCTTTTTCTTGAAGAGGGGAAGTGTTATGTATGCAACATATTACATGTATATAATTTATATCTGACCAGTTGGTATTTCCAATATTATCATTGTTCTATTTTTAGAACATAAACTACATGTATGTACTAGAAGGTTCTTAACTGTTGTAGAAAACTCATGCATTATATTTAGATAGAAACTTCTGGAATGATCTTTATTGTTGAAGTTGCTAGATTATGATTACTTGAGAACATAATAGACCTTTCTGGAAACTTCTTAGTTAATATATATAAGGAGACATTTTTCATTAATCTTATCTTTAAGTCATCAGTTACCTTTTAAGTCATCAGTGATCTTTAAGTCATCAGTTACCTTTTTAGTCATCAGTAATCTTTTAAGTCATCAATATATTTGGAGTATTATTCAACTTGGAAATTAAGTGATTTATTGGAGCTTGGATTATTAATTATTCTTGTGGATTTTATTGTGGGAATTTATTCTAAAGTGTTCTTGGATTTAACTTGGATTTAACTGTGCTATTCAAAAGGATCATTCCAGGATCAGACTAGACATTTGTAATTTACATTTTTATTTGGACTTCAGGTATTTGTAAACATAATTTGTTATTTTATTTTTCTTTAATAATTTTTCTGTAATAAATTTGTTATTGTTACAAGTTTGTTGCTGGCTTTTCTTTCTCGTTACGCCTGGCTCGTAACAGTACGCTATCGGGTATTGTGTCTTAAATGGAAATAAATGACTATTTTTTCTTAATCAAAAGCTCTTCAAAATGGCGGACGATGGTAAACAATCAGTTCGCTATATGTAGATCTGTTTGCTATAAAAACTCCTAATAAAGGAAATAATTCGCTATATGCTTACAAGGAACTCCGGATATAAGGAACAGATTTTGAATGTCCCGATGAGTTCGTTATAAGCGGAGTTTACTGTACTTTAACATAAATTAAAATCAATAATATTCACAAATTAACATTATTGTTAGAGATTCGGTCTATTTACTTTTATACTTTCCTCGTAAATGAAATTTATTTCTTCATAAACTTGAAATGTATGTGACTTCAAATTATCTCGTAGTTTGTACCAAAATGCTCCGATAAAGCGGAGGTTTTGAGGAGTCAATTTTCTTTAAAAAATGCTGACTCCTGGTGTGCCAAACTATTCATTTTCTTTAATTTACGTTCTGAAACATCTTTGCTCGTTTCTGGCATACCTTTAGTATTTTTATCATAAAAATGTTAGCTTATGTTATAAAATACACATAATTTAAACCGCATTTAATGGTAAATTTTATCAATGAATGTATGCAAATAAATATTGATGAGATCGGCAGATATAACTTCTTAAATACTTAAATATTAACGTAATTTTCATATATCAAAACAATGTTAAACTAAATCAATTTGACCGTTCTCATGGCTGACCAAGTGACACCTTCAGAGTCAAGTGCTTATTTATGTAAGATCGTAAGCTTTCGAAAACTCTAGGCCCCTTCAACAAAAATGCATATAACCTGTAACCAGTCATATAACGGACATCGGAGCATTGCTTAAACACAAGAAGAGAATCAAGTTTCAAAAGTCTTCGATTCGCGATCAGCTAATTTAACTCCATTTCTGTCAAAGTATTATAAATTTCAATGTCATTTAGTTACTGTGCAAAAAAGTATATTCATAATGAAAACAATTTAATTATCAAAGTACAGAAATGAGCGTCCGACGTTATGTAGCTTGGTCAGTCTGTACTGTATGGCTCTATATTGCTTGCAAAGGCTTATAATTGTCGGTCATAGCATATCAAAGGTAAATGATGATGAGATTGTTTTGTGTAAATGCAACAATCGTACCGATTATACTTGTAAAAATAATGTAACTCAGTAAGAGCTCTAAAGAAGTATATTTTGTAGCATTTTATTAATATATGTTTATAGATGAACGGGTAAGCATATCACATTTATAAGTGTCATTTTGTGATTAGAAAATAGTTTTTGTATAACTGGGTATAACTTTAATTACTTTTATAATAGTAAATATTTTAATAACTGTTATATAAAATGAAAGGTAAACTAAAACATTCAGTCACAGAACCTTACTTTGAAGTGCACTATGTAATATATTTGTATATTTATTGAAAAAAGAAGAAAGTTAGCAAGAAATCATGTATGACATTGTGCGCAACATATTTCAATATAAAAGCAACATACATAATATATATATATATATTAAAACTTCTATTTCTTTTTAAATGTACTGACTAATTATTTTGATGATCCAATGTACATACACTTTGAATGAACCAAAACAAGCATGCATACATGTTTACAACTGGGAGTAAATTAAGCACACCCCGGAAATTAAAAATTGGTTGTGATTGAAAGCACTGTCATGAGATGACGACTAAATTAAGCTAAGAAGATTTAATGTGATCAGTAGCGATACCAATTTCATAAGCATAAACCAGTAAATTTATGAGTTTAGTTTACTTTATTATTAACCAAATTATTGACACAAAAGGAAATGTACCAAAAATGTAAGTGTTTATAAGTATGATGTTGGTGCATTTACAAACTATTTACTGGTTGATATTTTTTGGTAAATGTTGTAAACGTGCCCCGATGATAGCCTCATACCCGGCATTTTGCCTCAATTTTGACATGACCACAACAGAAATTTCAAATTTCATTTAGGCAAAGGTTCCAACCACCTGAAATGAGCCACTGGAACAAGGTCTACACCAGGAATGGCATAATCTACCTAACTAGAACTCCGCGAGTCGAATGTGTTCCCTTGTGAACAATATAGTTTAGGAAAAATGTCCAGGACAAAAAAACAAAGGGCAATAACTCAAAAAATAAAAAGTGCAGAGCAGCAGTGTCTGTGCACTGCACTTCCTATCAATAAGATATATCATCCTATAGTCCATAGCTTTTACAATGTATGAGAAATGGCCTGGACAAAAATAAACTATGACAATTAATAAAGGGTAACTCAAAAATAAGAAGTGCAGAGTAAAGGTTCTTGTACACTGCACTTTTTCTTGATGAGATCTATCATCATATGAAGTTTAAAGACCATTATAGCTTTTCAACTTTAGGAGAAATGGACCGGACAAAAATAAATTATGAAAATTAACAAGGGGCAATAACTCTAAAATTAAGAAAGAGTACCAGTTCTCGTGCACTGCACTTCTTCTTAATGAGATCTATCATCCTATGAAGTTTCATGTCCATAGCTTTTATACTTTAGGAGAAATGGCCCGGGCAAAAATTAAGTATGAAAATTAACAAAGGGCAATAACTCAAAAAATTAAGAAATGCAGAGTACCAATTCTTGTGAACTGTACTTTTTCTTAATAATATCTATCATTCTATAAAATTTCATGTCCATAGCTTTAATACTTCAGGAGAAATGGCCCGGACAAAAATAAAGTATGAAATTTAACAAAGGGCAATAACTCAAAAATTAAGACGTGCAGAGTACCGGTTCTTATGCACTGCACTCCGGGTCATTATAAGAAGAATGCATACCAAGTTTGAAGTCAATCCGACTTATGACTGTTTTATGCTCCGGACAAGCTTAAGGGGACGCGGATGACGCCGACACCGACAAAAGTAACTCCTATATGTCAAAAATCGCATAAGACGCCTTACTGTACTATGAGGAGAAGGGTTGAGGCTATTATCAGGTCACGACGTGGCGGTTACACACGCTATTTAATATTTGGCTACATAAGGTCATTTTAGGTTACGTAATTGTCAACATTTAACCAAGAAAACTCCACCAGTAAATGTATTGTAAACGCTCCAACACTATACTTATAAACGCTTACATTGTTCGTAAAAAAAAACACATTTGCTTATGCTTCAATTATTTGGTTAAGAATGAACTAAACACATAAATTTACTGGATTATGAAATATAATTTAGTATCGCTACTTATCACATTACTATTTCGTAGCTCAATAAAGTCATCATCTCATGACAGAGCTTTCAATCACAACGGGGATGTGCTTAACTTATTTCCAGGTGTATATTTTGAGTCGAGATGTAGTAGAATGTATACAAATATTTGATAAGCGTTTAGCGTGATAATACATTTACAACCGTTTAGTTGTTGTTGGTGCATACAAAATGTTCTAAAAGGATCAGAAAGTAAAACTGAAACCTAAATATATATACATGTACAATAGCCAACGGAAAACTGAATGAAGTAAACTGTATTTTAAAAAGCAAAGTGAAGAAATTTGATTATCTTCACAATAAGCAAACTAAGAATATTTACAATATCTTTTTTGAGATGTTTATGTACTTAAAAATTTTCTTTTTTCCTTATTCTTTATAAGAATATTAATAACTATAATTATCTAATGAAAAAAATATTTATAACTTCAAGATATACTATGCTCAAATTTAATACCAGAAAATATTTATAATTGCTACACATTCTTTTTGTAAATATAAATTTTGGTTTAACACAAAGTAGATATGTTATGTTCAAAATACTACACATTATAAAGGTCGTCACAATATTGTGTCATTAAAAATTGTAAGTTTTTTAAGACAATACCAACTTTATTTGACCGTTAATGGGGAACGCAGGGAACGCAGCTTCTTCCAATACATTGTATATCCTTTTTTTTCAATTAAACATATGCGGTAAGAATTTCATAGAATTAAATCAATTTCTGTGATTGAAATATTTTACTAGAGGATGAACATAGTATATCTTTGACAGATATCTACATTTTTCTGGAATTTATTACTGTATATTGTCTTAAGTATTAACTTAAGGTATACTTTAGTTCAAAACAGTTTTATTTAGTAGTTTTCTTCACGGTGTAGATCATTCTCGACGTTTGTAAATTTTTCATCAGTTCTGTCATCAACGGTGGTGTCATAAACCAAAGGCCGGTGTCAGATACTCTGATTCTTTGGGTTTGTCATTACTTTGTTCAAGCGGGACTGTTTTATCGCATTGAATAGTTTCATACATATGTCCAGCATCATCATCGTTAATAAAAGTATGGACCGGCTGCTTCAACGGGTCAGTATCAATGTTGATTTTACCAATCTTATCGTTCATCATCGGCACACTGTAAGAAACAAAAATGAATTCACTTTAGAGTACTAGTGAAAAAAGTAGTTTTATCATTGAAATCAGACCATACTGATCAGCTGAATGTTGTAATTCTTTGATGACAACATGTACAAAAGTTAACCATGTCTCTTTATTTTTAGGACAAACTCATTCCTTTACTTATGGACTATGTAACTTTTTCATTGAATGACCCTCACGTATCACATGGAGGTTCTATGAGCATATCTCATTCAAAAGTGTAACTATTTCATGTAAAATGTGAAAAACTGCTTGAGCCGGTGCTAGGAGGTAGCTTGCACTTTCCAGTACCGTCAATGAATAGGCTCAATCTACCGAGTCTGCAACCTTTTTAATTATGCCGTTTTAGCCTTTCTTTATGGTTTCTATTTCAGTTTATTTATGAAAAAAACTATAACAAATATGGCAATTTATAACATTGATGAACTTACTTTTCCCGGGAAATTTCATAAATGACTGCAACATTAAATTTACTACAAATACTGTTTGTAACAAAATGTTGATAAATGTTAATGTAAAATTACCTCTTACGTCGAATGATGAGCGTCAGTAACCCGATAACAGTCGCGGTCATAAGTCCAATTAATGCAACTGTTATGGTCAACAGCTCTTTGTCACTCAAAACTGAAAACAAAAATTATTTCTCTACATACAAAAGCGAAGGAGATTTCTAACAATTCGGGATTAATTTTAAACAGATTCTATTATGATGTCCTTAGAGTCACAATGAAATGAAGTTTCTGAGATTATATTCAGTTGATTGAATGTGCTTCATTGTTTTCAAATATCTGTATCTATATATAGAGCTAAACGCATATTGTTCTTGTAAACTTTTCAGCTGTACTTACCAAATGGTGTTTGACTCTCATCTGATACTTTGTGCGCATTTGTATTGCTACTACGGCTGTTTTTGTCCGTAAGTATTGACGTGTGTGGTGGTGTTGTCGTAGACATAAGAACATTATCTTCAAACAATAAGAATTTGAAATGATATCTTACATGTGTCTTAAATAATTTCATGGAACTTTAGAACGTAAGCGTATATCTAGAAAATAATTATTTTAACAGCGTAATTGCCTCATTTCCTTTGCTTTATACCTTATCTTTTTGTTTGTGTTACCTAACTAGCTCATGTTTGTTCTGCATTAAACGTATAATATAGCAAAACAGTGACAGTAAATACGAACCGAAGCAATATCTCTGAGGGCAACCGGAAGGCAAATCTATAAAACAGTAAGCCATGAACCACCCACAGTTAACAGCAGACACTCTGTAGGTGGTGAGACAACTATTGTCAAAGTTCCTTAAACATGACGTCCTGTTTACTAGCCCATCTTCCGGTTTTGGATTCTGACCTGGAAAACGGGAACATTTGGTACAATTTAGAAAACTGCAAAACAATAATGAAACATTTATAAAGAGATGACACACACTCGTGCAATAATAGATAACGTTTAAACTAAAGACAATCAAACAATCAAACACCAGTTTTGTTGTATAATATGTATTTAAATTTTAGTCTGAAGCCAACAAGATGTTTCTTATTCATGTATAATGAAGCAATTTTGTAAACATGATTTTCGTAATTGCTCTTGCGAAATAATGATAAAGTCACAATATGTAAAACATTTATTTACCGTACATCCAAATTGGAAACTTCGTTCCACACATGTACATTGAAGGACAACTCGTGCTCATTGGGCTTTGACTTCTGTACCATTTATTTGCGTGTATTTCATACATGTCACAAAATTTCAAGTTAGACGTTACGATGTTGATAGTGTAAGACGGACTTCTTGATTCTAAGTTAGGAACTTCTGACATCTCCAGTAAGCATATATCTAACACAATACAGTTTTGTGTTTATTCAAGCATTCAAACATGCCGTTGCTTAGTGGCAACCGATTGTAAATGTGTAATACAAACATTGGATCAGACATTTTGTACTATTCTACATTTTTAAATCTAATACTGTTAAATAATAACAATTACAATATAATATCAAAACTAGATGTAAAATAGGCTTGAATATAAATTATCGTTGTGTTGCTTTAAATTTTATGGAACACATTGTATAGAATACATGAATATATGTACCTGAAGATGTATCAAAGCATGTCGATGCAGCTAAAACATAAAACAAATATACTTGTAATTTCAAGTCATAAGCAATATGATAGTTTGTAATTTATAAATCTAAGAATCAAATATCATTTAATGTCTAATTCATGCGCGTTTGTTTGATTGTTTAAGATGCTAATTTAAAGTGTTTATCTGTTAAAGTTTTAATGAACAGTGCTCTTACCAGTTGTCGATGTTTGCTTTTCCTCGATATAAGAAACATATGTGCTTTTCTGTGAAATCGAAGTGCCCGAAAACTTCACTGTGTTCATGGCTGTAAGTGTCGATATCTGTGTTGGTCTAGATGTTGTCGTAAAGTCATTATCTTAAATGGGAAAACATCTTAAAGGGGTATAACCTGACAGTAATTAAGAGAAATTAACGAAAAAGCATATTCGGTCTGATTGAGGTTTTCCATGTGATACAATGGAAGAGGCGACTTCCATTGGCATGTGCATATCAAATTTTCTTACGTTATACGATGCGGGACATGATTTTCATGCTGTTAGGGTTTTTATAACCAAAGAAAGAGTGGGTATAAGACTTGAACATGGGCATTTAAGTAACTAGTACTGAAAAAAAATTACTTCTTGAATATAGATAATAAATGACATGATATTTTCAGTTCTTAGTATTTAGAACCAATTAAGCTTTGTATGTACTTTTCTTTAAGTACATGTACATATATTACGTAATGCTAATAATGTACTCTACCAAAACAATATCTCTGGTGACAACTGGTTGGTAAATGGACGAAACAGTAGGCCATGAACTGTCCACAGTTGACAGCGGACAGTCTGTAGGTACGAAAACAACAGCTTTCAAAGTGTCTTATGCAAGAGGTCCTGTTTACCAATCCTTCTTCTTGCCTTGGGTTCTGACCTGGGCAAATTAAAGACACAACAGTTAAAATTTGAAAGTTTGTTTTCTATTATTAATTTGAGTTAATGTAAAAATTATTAGAAGACGCATTAGCGGATATTCCGTTTTGTTTTATCAGATGTGCAAATAATAACTTCTTGAATTTCAATCTGGCTATAAACATTTAAGTCATATAAAGGACTGGAAAACTAGAAAATGATTAAAATCAAATTTCAATATAGCATGTTATTAACAATCACAAAAGAATCAATAATCATCTCCTCTGTCTACTTTTTTATTATCAAACAAAATTAAAATCATTTATTTCTATACTAACCATTCATCCAAATGGGAAACTTTGTTCCGCACATGTACATTGACGGACAGTGTGAGGTCATGGGGCTTTCACTTTTGTACCATTTATTTGTGTCAATCGCATACACGTCACAAAACTTCCAGTGAGACGTTTTGTTGGTGAAAATAATTGACGGGTCTCTCGAAACTAATTTTGGCATTTCAATAAACTTATTGCTACACAAATCTGAAATAAAAGGGTTTGTTCTGCTAATTACCAATGGAAGGAACTGTCACGACATATAAATGCAACTTTAGGATTTAATGTTAGTAATGTTGTTAAATAAATATTAGAAGCCAAACTTTAACGGAACATTTTCCTAAAACCACTACGTAACTAACAGAAATAATTGCATTCGGATACATGTACTATAGACGACTCAATTTAACATTAAGATGCATTGTCAATAAATGATTATCCTAATACTTTAATAACGTACATTGTACCAATTGCATCAATTTAATTGGTTGTTATTTCACCCCTTATATTTTTATTTGAATCAATAATACACACAACATAAAAGTTTGCATTTATGCGAGACCATATTGATGGATATGTTGAAATATTTTAACATTTTATGTATTAACAGTGTTAAGTCTTTTAAGTATTTATTCATCGATAAACAGCCTGAGTTAGCATAAACACGTGAACAATTATTATTTCAGAGAATCGAAACTTACCTGAAGGTGGATTGTAACAGCTCGATGCAACATAACCTATAATTAAACAATAATAATATTCGCTTAATTCATAGAAAACATCATTACGTAGGTGTGTAGTCTGGATGGGTCGTTCACCTGAAGTGGCTTGGTCTACAATGAGCTCTTTTTCCGCAAGTATTTCAAATCTTGATTGAAACAAAAGAAATTTAAAAATTTGTATATTCACATAAAATATTTTGACCTCACACTTAACAACAATATCCATGCATTATTCTAGCAAGACATATTGTCACGTATTGTACGAAATAAATATCAGAATATTCATGGTACTACAGACTTTCAATTAGGGACCATTTCGCTTTTTAATTGATTGCATTTAATTGCAACCCAAGCGAGCCAATAGAATGAATCAACGCTAATGATACAATCCGTCAAATGGATGCATTAATGTTCACATATCTGTAAAATGTGTGAAAGATTATTTGAAAAAATAAACCCCATACATTTGGGAACTTTTTTATTTACGGAAGGATGTATTAATTTAACATTTGTGATGTACACAAGAAATGCAAGGTATTCCTTTAGTTGAAAATGACTTGTTGTTCAAAAGAACAATTTATGGCATGTTACAATCATCCATAGCAGTTATTATTTCTTTTGACCGGATGTTATCAGCTGTTATTTACGGCATATAACAGTCACTCTGCATTGATAGTAACACATGCTTAGAACGAAGTAAAAAACTCGTAGACTTCTGACCGCTAGGTGTCACTATTGTTCAAAGAACATTGAGATCAGCCAATCATGCAAGGCCAAAGGATAAACATTTTGTTTTATTAACACGACGTCGTAAAGCTTTTAAAACATGGAAATTGGATTGTATGTTGTTAAACATTGATCTGAAATCCATGAAACGGTTAAATGTGACAAGGCAATGTCCAAGGCCACATAACAATAACAGCAGCATTAACATCATCATCGTCATCATTTAATCATAAACAACATCATCATCATAAAAAAGAACATGCATTGGTTTATACATTTATCACTTAAACTCGATTGTAAAGTAAACCTGTAGCTTGTTTATACAATTCTTGGCCAGCCTCTTAAACAATACAATAATTCAGTACGTTTGTCATTCAGGGCTCCACCCTCCACTCTTGCTCCGAAATAGGAAGAAATTAGTCAATGAGAGATTGATTACATCCGGGGCGACATTAATAATTTTCAGAAAGGTCTGTATTTATGACAAGAAAGTATTTCTATCTTTAAATTAATCTTTACATCATGGTAAGATATTGTTTGATGTAAAGAAAACTTTAATAAATCGCTAATTCACAATGAATGTTCCTGGTTATCAAATCTAATGCGCAAAATTAAAAAATGGGTTAGAATACTTATAAGGAACGGAGACAATCCTACTTAAAATGCAATTACATACACATGATACAGACAACTTGTACTTGACACCATGATAGGCAACATTAAATGACAATTCACTCAAACAATAAAAAGGCATATCATTCAGTTATTAAAGATTGCAAATCATGCTATAAAACTTCATTATTGTTAACTTGCATATTAATTCGAAGTTGTTGTTGTTGTTGTTGTTGTTGGTTGGTGGTGGTGGTGGTGGTGGTGTTTTAAAGCTACGCATTTTTTATTTATGAAATGCTATTATTTTTGTTGTTTTTGTTATTAATGTTTTTACTGTATTGTAGAACAGTTATAAATTACATTTCAGAATATGGTAAAATGTTCTAAAATCAATTTCAATGTAACGTTGAATAATCTCTTGTTTTGTCCCTAAACCATTAAATTCCAAAATTTATATTTCTAAATATTTCATGTGCTAGAACCCCCATCTGATTTCTATTATAGTGCAAACAATTGTCAATTGTTTTCATTAATTAACAACTTGTTACAAAGAAAAGTTGTTTTCTTTTAGAAACATACAAAAATGTGGTTAAAATTACTATTACTTTCTATTATATCATCCTTTTTACAAACATGGCACTTATTGATAATGGGTTGTGCCTTAGTTGACCCATTTTGTAAATGCAACATAGGGCTAAGTCAAGTATGACCAGTTTTGCTGACAATTTATCATTGAAACTTTGTGACATATAAATGGAAAACTGATCTAACTGAGATCATTTCAAATATATTTTTATTAAGTGATATTGATTTATAAACTCCTTCTTAATATAATTTAACTTTTATGAATAAAGAGATCTAAAAATAGTAACATAAAAATCAAATTTATAGAATTTGTAAAGTTTTTTTCATAGCCTCCTTTAAATTTTATAAAAAAATCAAGTTAGATCAGTTTTGCGTTCAGCCATACAAGATACACGAAACTTTATTTTAAGTCGGTTTTTAAATTACAAGAAACATAAACAAATAAGCTATTTACGACAATAACAAAGACATACAAACATATTTACTTACGGTATACGTAAAGGAAATCATCTCTTAAAAGTACTACGACCTCGCTTTTGAGATCATATGGCATGTTCACTATTAAATGCATGTTTATTATTAAAAATATATGGATGTGAAATTGATATTAATAATTCAAAGGCTTTCTTGGAAGTTATTTATGTTATCTATGTTACGTAGTAATTAAATGACTTAGAACACAAAAATACAAAACATACCCGGTAGGAATCCTAATAAACACCATATCATTGCGAAAAGGAAATACATTTCAACACCGTTTATGTCTATTTCTATAAAATTGTATTTCGTTTGCAAAACAAAATCAACATATGTAAAGTTTGCATTACAATCATAACCACCTTTTTCCGCTAAGAATATTATATTTAGAACACAAACGCACTTAAGATTGCATCCTTGTTAAAAGTACTGAAGTAAAATATGCAGTCGAGTGACATTTGAAGTTAGGTTAAAACATGTATAATGAAATCCTATTAAAGGCCAATTAAGCCCGCGAATTGCTATCATTTTTCATTTTTCTAAAAGGGTGTTTTTGGGGGTATCTTATAACAGTTTCAAAAAGAAATGATATATTGGCTATATTATATAACTAATGTTTTAGTGAATAGTTTATGGAGCTATTAATGGCATACATGAACAAAAAAATTAAAAGATAACAGAAAAAGCATGCATACACGTGCAAACACAGACATGCACATACTCGGATATTCACACGCATGCGCGCACGCACACACACACACGCGCGCATGCACGCACGCACGCACACACACACGCACGCTCACATTGCACACACATGCGTACAAAAACACAAAGCAGACAAGACCATCTATAACGGCCACGATACGGAAAACTAATATACCAAGAAAACATTTAGTGCACCTAGCAGATTTTGTTCAGACGAGTGCTGCAAGTAGATTTTGTTAAGTGTATCCAAGTGTATTTGGTATTTTCCTCAGTGCTCTGTTTACATCTCATTCTTTACTTCATCTTTAAACTGGATGATTAATGTAAGCAAACATCTTATGATCTTAAGAACTAATTAAATGTTTCGTTTGTGTTTTTTAGTTGTTGTTGTTGTTGTTTTGTTGTTTTTGTTGTTTGTGCCGGCGTCGATGGTCTTTGCTACACAGGTTTAAAGTTCAAAATCATGAAATTGTTCGGCACTTAAATCATCTTTTTTATCCAATTCTTTCACATTACGACATTTTGAAATATTTTAATTGCAACAAAACAAAAGCGACATTGAAAAACATAATTACATCTATGAAGAAACTGGTTTGACTTAGTGAGTCATTAACTCGTGAGATTCCGTCCCTATTGCTATAACTGTTTACATTAAATTGGGGATAAAACATATGTAAGTAGCGTGTCAAATTTATTCAGTCCATTGTAATTGTATCCGTATTTAAGATATTACATTAATTAATATGCCTACCAATTTATACATATGCCTTCACATGAAAAACAAGAAATAGGCAAAACTACAAAAGTAGTGAAATACTGGAAAGAAGCTCTAGGCTTGAATATTGTATAATAATTATAATTCAATATCCAAATCTGCAAAATAGCTCTTGACGAATAAATATTTCATTCTTTATAAAGGAAGGTAATGCTTAAGAGCAAGTTATATGTCCTGATGTTTAGAACCTTGTCATGTCATGAACGTTTCCGCTTTTTTCAAGCCCTAGTTTGTACTTTACTATCGAGTCAGACAATAATAGGGGCTTCAGAAAAAAAAGAAATTTAAAGGGTATATATAAAATAGATTAAAACAAGGTGGATACAAAGCTAATAGATAAACACATGTGCAACGGAATTAGATAAACTAAAATGCATCGTTTCATTGTTAGCGGTTGGAATTGTTCGCAAATTTCGAGTACTTTATCCGATGCGGTTGAACGTAATATTCTACGACCAATGCAACCTTGGTAATAAACCTATTACTTTTATTGTTTGTTTTTTACTTTTATACATCAATACAAAAACATTTCGAACATATAAATAAAAAAAAACAAAAACAGAAATTACCTTATATTTTATGCGACCTTAGTTGTTATTTAAAAGCTGTCGTGCTGGTATTCAAATTGTATTATGTATAGGGTACTTGAAATTCGGTGCTAAGGAAAGTACTTTAAATAATATCTCACGAACGTATTCAATTAAACGGAGACTCCATTTTTCACTTTTACGCTTTGAGTGATCTCCCTTTTTTCCAGATTTTGATAATGATTTCGGCCATTGTGTTTATCAAACCTGTTAAAATTTTGACTTTATTTTCAAAATGTAAGAATAGAATACCACATAATATGAATAGATAAATTAGATAAAGCAAAATAGCTGAAAATAGCATGAAAACAAAAGTTAACAATGATAATTTGTAGGATAATTCATGAATACCAGATCAAAATATTTGAAATAGGTTTAACAATATTAAGACTTGTAAGACTGATTGTCGTTGTCTCTAATGATTGAAGAATTAAAGTAAATTTTGAATTAAAGACATGACAGATAAAAGCTGTTTCAACTGATACCATTTTTCATTTCTTGTATTTACTTTCTTGTTAAATTTTGTTGCAACTGCCTCTTTGATTGGTAAAATGCTACAGTTATGGATCCCGGTCAATTTTATAAGCACAGTGGCTTGAGAAAAATACAGATAAATTGACATACAAAAACGTCCAGATTGAGCATTTTCTGGGGTAAATGATGAGATATAACCCAAGAGTGTAGACATACTTTTAAATAGACATGAATACTTGAACATTATTAAACCTGTCATATTCCTACTTTCAAACTATGCAAACGTCTATCATAGCAAACTGTTAAGTCATTATGTAAAAACACGCTAGAATACGTTCAAACCGAGCAGATAAAACTAGTGGATGGCACTGACATTTCGCTGAATCTTTAACACAGGTTAGTTAACACATGTGACTTTTCAAGTAAAATGAAAATTCCTGACATTCGATTAAAAATGGCTTTATGGGTCTCTGGGGTTATTATCAGAACAAGGGTGATATTCAGACTATGTAAAACGTACACGAGCCCCTTTTTGTAAAGGCTGGAAAAGAAACACGACCTCGTGCTTTATTTTATTAAATTACACGCAGTTATATCAATGTTTAATAAAGTTGATTCAGGCTAATCTAATTATGACAAATTTGATAAATGTTAATTTAATAACGGCAAATTTGAATTAAGTATAAAAAAAATGATTTCATAAAAAGCGCTGAAAACGACCAATTTTAAATGTTGCAAAGCCGGTTTAATTGAGCTTGTTTATAGAAGAATGTAGGAAGCAATATCTACCATTGACGTCCCGTTCCACCCCACCCTTCTTGCACCGATAACAGCAATGTTCCGCATGTATATGTAAGTGTTTAATAATACCTATTAACAAAAATAATTGGTCAAGCCTGACGCAGGCAGGCAACCAATTATTTTTGTTAATGCGTAATATTAAACATTAACCTATTTAATGATCAACATTATTTTTTCAACCAAAAACAAGGCATTTCTCAAAATCACAGATAGCTCCGCCCTTTCGCTCTACAAGATGTCTACACCTTGTCAAATTTCTAATATGTCACATTTAGATAAGTTAAATAAATGGTCCTTTCAATAAATAATCAGGAACATTTTCTACTGAAATGTCACAAAATTTAAACCTTTATCTACAGTAAGACTATCATGTTTCTATAAAATATGTCAAAATTCAGCGAGGAAAATGATGCAATTAGGTAAAAACAATGGAGTTAATGAAATGTGTACATCCTTTTAAAATAAATGGAAAATGGGAGAAAAATACATAGAGATTATTAATTGATACAAATTTGTTATTGGCTTCAAGTTATTCACTTAACATTTAAAATTCCTATTGATTTTCTCATTTGAAAAACATTTCACTTTTTTATTTTTCTGTGTATCAATTTAGGTTAACAGGTGAAGGGGGTTCATTTACAATGCATTTTCCTGCCAAAAATGTAACCATTGTATTCTTAATATCTTATTATTAATGTAGTTCATTCCTGTCAACTGAATGAAAAAAATGTTTTGGTTACTTATTCTAGAAAATATAAAGTTTAAAACAGTCAGCAATTTATTACAGACATTTTTCTTAGAGTTAAAGCATATAAAAATGTTACTATATAATTATTTGTCTCTGTGTGCCTCATTTGTATATTCTATGTTATAAAGTTGACTGTGACCTCACATTGAGAAACACCTGACCTCGCCTTTTTTTTTACGTTGACATTGTTTTGAAGCCAAAGTGTTGAGTTAAAATTCCGCCTAAGCTAGGTATGTTACATTTCAGAGTGCAAAACACACCTCCCTAATATAATGCACTATTGAAATCAGTTCGACTGGTTAGACGGCCGATTAAGTAAATTTTATTTATTTAATACACATAAACAAAAGTTAGACTTAGCAGAAATTTGAAACATACTACAATGTGATAGGACAAAAAATAATGTTGATCATAAATTAAACATTGTCTTTATCATAACAACTTAATGGTCCATTTTTATAATAGCTAAAGTGTTAAAGGTCAATGTAATAACGCCACTCAGAATACCATACATATTAAAATGATAAACTTTCAAATTCAAATTTCTTTTGTTTTTACTTAAATCAGGTATAAAACATGATATTATGAGGTTTTAAGAATACAAATAAAAATTGTTGAGGCATCTTCAACAGCATTGTAGATAAAATACCATATGACATACGGTACTGCCATAGATTCAGATTTACACGTGTTCATTTGCTCAAGAGGACAATGCATGGGAGGAAACTCGTATAACCTTTAACTTGTCTTACATAAACAATTATCTTTACCGTGTAATCTGCGTTATCAAGTATGATGATGTCTTTTCCAATCCTATCAAAGTTGATATTTGTTTGGGTTTTTTTTTTTGTTAATTGTAATGCACTAAATGTGCTTTATAGAGAATAACATGCTACTGTCTTTTGATATCAATTTTATCAGGCGAGGCTGATATGGGCTAGAAAGGGCGAGGCTTGCCTAAATAATAATCCGGCGAAATAAAGTAAACATTTACAAGTTCTCAAAGAAAATCGTCAGCCTGTTTGTTATGATTACATGTATATTATCGCATGACCGCCACAACTTTCCTTTGAAGATCGGCGTTCTCTAAATTGCGGTATTGGAAATCTTTGGGGGTGCTCTAAATGAGGTATCAGTACGCTTTGGGGTGCTTTAAATGAGGTATCAGTACACTTTCTCGCGCATGCCCAGTTTATTATTTTATTTTTAATCATAAAGTGAGTATACCCGAAAAAGAGCATAACAAAACATTACACATTTGACAGAACTCTTTTTTTTAAATATTTACATATTGTCTCGATCTTTTTTTTCAAAACTTGAAAATGCAGTTATTATAAAGATGTCTCAAGTG